CTCTTCTTCAGCCCCTTACTGCTGTTTCAAGACTTTGCTAAGTTTTGGATGTCTTTTAATTTTTATTATTTGTATGGTTATATGTGTAATTTATTTGTACATTATTTAATTCAGAGATTTTATCTATTTCTCATGGATGCCTGTAAGTGGCGGGTAACTGCTGTTGGTCATCAGAAATAAATAAATAAATAAATAATAAATAAATATGCCAATGTAATTGCAAGTACTTAACCCTATATTGACTGAGGTGGGGGAAGGTCAGTTCTTCGCCCCCTCCCATGGAAATTTTCAATCTGAGACTGCTCCCAAACTGCTGCAAATACCAAATTGTCCTTTCATGACTTTTCTTTAACCCTAACCCTCCTCAATCCTTCACCTGTTGGAGGATTGAGGAGGGTTAGGGTTAAAGTGCTGCGCAACATTTGATACCAAATTGTAAAACTCAGTCAAAGTATTTACAAGTTACATTGTGATTTAGGGTCAAAAGTCATTTAAAACTTTAAGAATTTATATGTGTGTGTGTATCAATGAATGGAGGTGTTGTACATAAAATGTTAGAATATAACCAAAGAATATCAAAATAAACACCGTAAATATCTTACCCACTTGATAATACATAATGTATTTCATTATAGTCAATGGGGTACTTTCTTCTTGTGATTTTTACAAAAATTGAAAATATGCATAAAATATCAATACGGTATCACTCCAACATCTACATCTGCCTCTAGCAGAAGCACCCCCTCATCTGTAGAAAAGAGCCACATTGGTCGGGAGTGTTCAATTTGCTGGTGGCGACGCAACGGTGACGTGTGCATTTCCTAGTCAATTATGAACCAGCAAAGTTCAGTTCCGACCAAACGAACCTCCATTGCTAGGAAAATAGCACCCTCTCTTGGTTCAGCTCAAGGCCCATAGATATGTTGTTGATAAGTTATTCTGTCCAGATAAAAAATTTTCTGTTCATCAAAATTTTTTTCCCTGAGATCTTGGGGAGGGGGTTAACTGACACCCCCCTGTAAAATATATTCCTGAAAAGTCTGGTCTTAGTAGGATTCAGACTTGTTGAAACCACCTGGCCTTATTTTGATATGCAGCAAATTTTGACAAGCTTTCCTGCTTAGGAACACAAGCAAGTAAAATACCACTGCCCTAGAATAGTGCTCAACACATACTTTACTTTTTCTTATTGATTCGCATGCTTCAGTCTGGTACAAGTCTTTGAACCACGCATTTTTCAGAACTGCAAAACGATGCTCTGTTGTTCAGTTGCCTGGAGAAAAAGATCGGGAAGAGATGTTGAAGTTATAGAGTTGGGAGGAAAACCCTGATAGAGTTACCAGTAGCCGCACAACAAAGGACTGGAAACAACAAATGGGAGCTGAAAATCCGATTCCGCATGATGTAACATGGGTTGAATTTAAACATATGTCACAGGTGGGAAATGCAGGAACAATTTGACTTTGTGACAACTCTCATGAATCAAATAACTTGAGATTATTTCATATGACATAGGAATAATCTGGGCAGAGTTGCAGGGTAACTTATCGATTAACTATCAACATCTGATTGATTCCTTGACTTTCAGATCAGCTGAACTGGACCCATTGCCAACGCTGTCTGATCCAGCGTCCACTGAAGTCTCACCACTGCAGCAAATGCCAGCGTTGCATCCGGAAGATGGATCACCATTGTCACTGGTAATTGGGTGGGGAGAAACAAACGGGATTCTGGTATGGAACACTTGCCTTAACAGCAGGTCGTCAGAGATTGAGCCTTGAAAGTTTCCCATATCAAGTGCAAACGGGGAAAAGAGGAGATACGATTCTAAGCTCAGCCCCCATTCTGACCGTAGAATCCATTTCATTTGATTCTGGCTCATAGTCCTGCAACAGACAAGTTGTGCTGTGGAACTCTGAAAAGAACACATGGACTCGACATCAACATTTCAGACTGTATGCACTTTCGGTCGTCAGGAGAATGCAAGGATACCAGCTTACAAGAAACGAATCAATTTTGTAGGTTATTACAATGTGGTTGACTTTTGCCCACCATATTTGTTCTGCAAAAGTTTTACTACCAAACTACAGAGGGGTTCAGAAGTTCAGCCACATTTACTGGCTTTAGTAATTGGGCAGAAACCTTGCCCAGCATTTTGAGTAATCCTGTCTAGACTTGTTATTTGCTGAAATTGATGCACCCTCACCTGGGCAATGACTGACATTCTGTTATACAACCCAAGGGGTCTTGCATGTCAGATAGGAAGTTGGTTCAGTGCATATTAAACAGTAGGGAGGTTGCTCAATGGGCCAATGTAATGATTGCATTTGGGCAGAAAGGCACTCTATAAACTAACTTAATCTTTTGTACATGTATATTATTTAACAAGAATAATTATTTGCACATCGAACAGGGGTGATCACTACTCCCAACCCAGATCTCCAGACTCACCAATGTTGTTTGTTTCTTGTCTCTTTCTCAATTTAATAATTTAATTGTGTTTATCTCCCACTAGGATTAATAACTGCGTTGCCGAGGACAACCAGTGGATATTTATCTTGCTAGTGTTTTATGCCGTTCTTCTTAGCCTCTACACACTTGTTCTCGATACTCTTCATTTTTACTACTTTCCTGCATGCAAGACTTGCAACAGTGTGAGTTGATCATTCCCTGGTAGGCCTTTATCCATTTTTTTTGGGGGGGGAGTGGTCCTTGCCCCCCTTATTTTCTGCCTGTGCTTAGCATAAATGAGAGGGCAACAAACCATGATATTGCTGTCCACTTTCCTAGGTTCTTATAATACAGGGAAATGTTCCGTTGTACAGCCGTGGTTGTATCTGACTCAATGGCTTCAATTGGTGTGTTTGAGATGTCTTTTGACCCAAGTTAACAGTGGCCAATTTATTGTCTTGTTTACTCAGCACTTCTTTTTCCATGTACTTTTTGGAAATTTAAAATGGTTTTAAAGGAGAAAGAACAGTTTTCCAGGAGGAAGCAGGAGGTCGTGGGTTCGAGTCCCACCCGAGTAAGCTTGTGAGGTTTTTTT